CTTCCGAGCATCGAAACTAAGTAACCTTCATTGGTCTAAGTAGATGCGCCCACAGGGTTCAAGAAATAGGCAAGAAGATAGGCCTCAATTGATTTTTATTATATGCAACCTCAAACAACATATTTTGCGATGGAGTATTGTGTCTGGACACATTCCCGACTGTTCCAAATATTTTGGACCAAATAGTGTTTGGAATTACTACCATTATGATACCGGAATCTCTGTCGGATTATACAGATGTCTTTCACTTATACGAGTACTGTGTGCAAACCTCCATTTCAATGTTCATTCTTCAAACAACAAGACATCTCAAAACGTCTGTCGCCTAAGAGAAATTCACCTATTTCTCAAACCGAATTGAGGCCGCACATGTGGTCCAATTTTTACGCGATGAGAGGACCCACCCAATTCCGTCCCTCCCTCCCCTCTGAACCCACCTCAATCTCAGTTAAATCAACGTGAGCACACGCAGTACTCCTTTTGATCTCTGGGCTGCCACACATTGTCAGTTGAATGCTTAGCGCAAATTAGCCTATCATTCCTCACAATTCCGCCTGACGTGATTTGCGTGTCCTGTTTTTCACTCTCTTTATCGCCTGCATTAGATGATCACCTGCTCCAGTTCCGTGCACCAGTATGGTAGGTCCAAACACTGAGACAGCCACTCTCATTTTCCCCGAAGATTAAATCAACGAGAAGCCGAAAGACGTGAATGATGATAAGCAATTGATAGTGTTATTGATTTACTAGCACACTCAGCTATCGGTTTGTCGGATTTGCACTAACCTTTTTCCATTGTCGACTGCGTTGGAGCATAGTTGTAACGAAAGGAGAGAGCATATAAACTCCCAAATTGACGCTAACTTTCTTTCCCTCATATATAATCAGGTATCGATCGTACCCATGCAACATGAACCTCGTTTTGGAAGTAGATTTCACTTTCCAATATCATTCGTGTTTCATACCCGTATGTAAGTATATATAGTATCATTAACTAATACCATCGATGCATACGACCAAACTGAACAATTCTAATGAACAGCTAACCCCACAAAACAGATATCCTCCGAAGAAACGAACACCCAGTAGCATTCATCTTAAGACACTTGGAATAGAAATCATTCAGCATAAAATGCTAGATGGTTAGATATGAAGAGGGGTTCATAAGTGTTCCACTCAAAGTAGGTTGTTCATCCGGAATCCTGGAACATGGTCCATTTTGAAAGCTGTTGTCAAAACTTCGTTACTGCAGCACATTTGACAGCCGCATTAAAAAATATTCCCGCACCATTCACAACATGTTTAGGCTAAATTGTCTCATCTTCCCCCAAATCATTTGCTCCATGTCACGTTATATGCACTGTTCTTGCACAGCAGTTCGGACAGACAATGATGCGTGTTTCATAGATAACATCTTAACCTTGTTCGGCCGCTCTTCGGACAAAAACAGTGAGGACTGTGAACTACTCAATCCTATAACACCTGGTCGATAGTGAACACTGGAGTGGAGATAAAACATGGTACATACGGTTCTGCACAGTGTCTACAAACTAGATTCCATTGCAATTAGGATTATGAATTTGAAGTTTTGCAAACATGGTCATAAAATAGAATGGCCTCCGCCCATTTTCTACCCCTCATTTACCCAATTTTTATTCATCATTTTTATTCGTCATCGTTGACTAGCACCTTTCTTATCGTGCGAAGTTCACGAATTTGCAATCAGCTGTTCTTCATTCATTTATTATGACTTCAAGGGTTGTTGTCAACGTAATAACTGTCACATACGCAAAGACAGGTATACACATTTATCGAAAAAATTAGGTAATTAGTAGTATTTTACAATAAGTTGTATGCGAATGACTGGACAAAATTTCCATACAATCGATCTCACGATTCTTGCCTCTCTTTAGTTAGGAGTATCCGGTAGTTTTTGGGTTTTTCAATCATATACTTGTATGCAGGAAATCTATTTTCGTCACAATAGCCTCATCTGTAACGTCGGGCAAATTTGTCTGGACAGTAATATGTTGAACATATATTTAAAAATGTATGCATCACTCATATACTACGTATCATGAAATGTTCTGCAAAGACGATCAAGTCACGTTTGTTGCGGTTAATAGCATCTAATCCACTCACAAAAACATTGTATCATAGCATTGGTTCTTCAGTGGACTGGCTCTGAAAGAGCTGTCTATCCAAAAGTCACTCGGTGTTGCAAACAAGATTATTTTGACAAAAATAGACCTCCTGAGTACAAGTAAATGAATAAGCTGGTTAGAGATTACCAGGTACGCATGCTTAACAAGCGGCAAGAACCGCGAAACTGGTAGTGTGTTTCCAGGAAAATTTTGTCCAGTCACTACTAGTTATTATGAAGTAGATTTATTGAATATTCGAACTACAGGTCTAATCAAAACTGAAGCAACGGGTCCCTATGAAACACTTGTCGGTTGGTATAGGCAGCAGCATATACAGCATATACTGAAGTAATGTTTTTCTAAATAATGATAAACAACCCTTGGTGAGTCTTTATAGGCATGATTTTTCTGATTTGTTTATACTCAGCAGATCGAATTGTTCAGAATATAACGTATACTCTCATTTCGTCAGTAGTGATTGACTTAGATCATGATCAGTTAAAAGGTAACTAAAGAGAATGGAACAGTTTTTGTTGTTAACAAATTACCATTGATAATAAGTAAGATGTAAAGTTTGTGTGCACTATAGTCGATTTGTCTTTGTCCTTAGGAATTTTCGAGTCTCTTCGGTATCGAATCCACCAACTTTGTTATAAAGTCACTTTCTATTTTGTGCTCCACTTTTGCCTCCAATATCCAATGTATAAGTAGCACATCGACCTCTCTTTTCAAAACAGAAAACAGATTTCCAAACACATTGAGATTCGGGCTATTAGGGGGAAGTTGCATGTTGAGATCATTCAACCTTGGCACTCAAGGTCAGGCACGTTTAATTGACAATCATGCCGTCGAGAAACTACGTAGATCGAAGTAGACAAGATATAAAATATTGTCCATACCTAAAGCATTAATGCAGGTGATAGATATAATAAAACTCCATTTGACCACGAAGGAAATATTTTGGTGCATCACAATGGGCTGGTACTGTATACAATAAATTATTTTAAGCTAAATATATAAACGCGTTTATACATAAGAATAATGTGAAAATGTGATCAAATTTCTTGTCATCTAAACAGCTTTCCACACTTTGGTCAAGTGACCTGCACGGCCGTATCCCTTTGAGGTGTTTTACGAAAATATTTTCTCCCACTTCCAGTTTAGGTTGCCCCATTACTTCTTCCTATTTACATATATTTTACGTCTACATTTCCAGAGGATATTGAGAGACATCCGCATGTTCGAAAATGTGGATTAAGCTGAAAAATGTGGTTCACAATCATCATTTTCGCAAATTTCGGAGGAAGGTAAGCAGTAAAATACTCGGAAATTACCTAGCAATTTCATTTGAATATTCTGTTCTCCTTTTTATTCATCAAATTGTAAACTGTAAAAATCTTTTCCCTGATAATAAAAACCCGCAAACTAGTTTTGTCATATCATCGAAATGCATTATTCATTCAAGCACTGTTGGAACATTAAAAGGTATCCGAAGTGTATTACCATCAGTAGCACAAATCCATGGATACTACTATTCTAGATGTCATAAACACAAACATTATCAAACAAATTTAGCATTCATATAAAACTGCAAACTGCAAAATGATTGTTAAAAGAGGTTTGCTGCGAAGGGTTGATCAGTTTGAGATAACGATGACAGATAAAAAGTATTAATTAAAACCAACCGTCGAGAAACGATTTTACCTGGAATTTCATTCCGCCCAGAGTAGATTACTTGCAAACTGCTGGGCCAGGAAGCACTGGATACCTGTCCCTATCTGATTGGGTCTCATTGACTATCCAGTGTACGAATCTATTGACCTAAATGAAGATCGCTATCTTCAGATCTCACAGGTACAACATAAACCTGCAGCCTATTTGACCACCGGTCAGTTGATCAGATCGTTTGGCATTTTATCTTTACACCATAAAGCACAACCCATCTTTGAGAGTTTGTTACAGACATCCTATTTAGCTCTAACATCTAGGGCTACGATTTCTTTGGAAACATTTGAAAATCGGATCACTTGGTACCTGATACAGATTTCTCTATGAAGTTAATGCCGGAAAGAAAAGGTGGCACGTTTCATGGACGATCTTTTATTGGCTGTATTGTTGCATTCGTGGAAATTAGCGAATCAAAGAAGATAGGTTTCAGTAACATGCGGTAGGCTATAATTTAGTGATATATACAACTGCATGAACTAAAAGATGACTATATAATTTAATCATTCTGAAGGAAATCGATCGATAACAATTCGAGGTGCGAAATATGTGCATTGAAAGAAAACCGATAGTCAACTGTGTTGCCGTTTGTTGCTGTCCGGACAATAATGAATTTTTTTCTACTTGTGTTTTAATATGCTTCGGAGGGGGAAAGGGCCATTCAAAGGGCTGCTATTGGGGAAATTTGGTTGATGGCGGTGCAATTCGAACACATTTCTTCCGGAATGAGAATTGGGTGACGTTACCATCGGGCCACCACTGACTGAACATCACTGAAGAGACCGTCTAGTGAACATGAATTGGCAATTCGGTTCAGCCCTGATATGAGCTGGTTAGCACAGTGGTAACACTCCGTCTTCCAACGGAGTGAGTCAGATCACAAACTCCAGAAGACACGGTAGATATGCATCACATGAGATCGGTGATGAGATCGAAATGAAATCTGAAGGATGACTAGTCTACGTCAATATCAGTTTTATTTTCACGTTATTCACATATAACTCTGAAGTGATTGAGAAGTAAAAGCAAATAATTAAATGAATATTTAAATCTATGGCAATCAAAAAACCTAATTCTTTCAATAGGTCTACACGCAAAGCAACAGCCATCACGTGAGCATTATGAACTTACTGCTTCCAGGATCACTGGCCGCGGCAAAAGCACCCAGGGCTGAATTGGCCGCCAAGTCATCCTCGACCGGTTGTCGATAGGCGGTCACATCTCGGAAAGTGAGCAAAAATAGTACGACCGAATCTTGCTCGTTTTTGATCGGAACCAGACGTAGCAATATCCAACGAGCATTTACTAAATTTACGGGACGAAGGAGCGAAAACCGGAGAAGTGAATACAAATGAAGGCTGGAGAGTTGTGGAACGACACGACTTGGATGAATCATGTGTCCTTTTATCATCTACAAATATTACAAATCGACTCTGATCGGGAGCCATTTCATTTACATGGTTGCCAAGATAAAACTAACCAATTACCAATTACCTCACTTTCGTCTTATGGGTGAATCTATTGATCAATAAATCAACTAGAAACGGCTTTTACAAAATTTTTGAATTACCAGAGGAATAATAATTGCAAAACCGTGTATGAAAAATATTTAACATATTGGTTTTAAAACGAAGAATTTCAGTTTTGGATATCCAAGTGGAGTTTTAGAAAATGGAAAAGTTGTTATTGACCGGAAACATTTACATTGCTATGCACGTTTTCCAAGTCTCCATATTTTATTGTTTTCTTACCAGGACCGTTGATTTTGAATTGAACATTTACCGGTATCATCTATGCGAGGTCACACACACGCACACACACTCACACACACACACACACTTCAAGGGCTGCAAGGTCTTGTTAAACTGCAAGTTTTATCCCACGGTATTTTTTCGAAAACCCACATGTTTTGTAACGTTCCATGTGATATTGACGGTTTGTTTAACAGGCAATAAACATATGCCCAGGATGCTGCTTTTGACTTGATCTGGACTTGACAGCAGTGTCTAAATTATTTATTTTTCCAACTTCAAATGGGATGCGCAACCACTCAGGTCCTGAGTGAAACAATCAAATTGAAATTCAATACCCCAGTAGACTTGGATAATAGTGAACTTTGATCCAATTTGTTTCCTAGTGAGAGAGTAATCATTATCTGAGTGACCAGACCATCCAAATAGTTGAGCCAAAACATATTCTTGGTCATTGCATGCCGTCAACCTCCCAGAAACTTAGCAAGTATTGCCAAGCATTAGGGGGTTTAAAAGATCAAAAATAAAAGTTCCTCTGGTGCTAAAAGTTGTTTTTGTTCTCCAATGTTACCGTTTGGATTGGCGCGACTTTGAATGTCATGATAAAATTTGTACTAGATCGGAAGATACAAATATAACGTGCGCTGGCTTTATACCGTCAATTACCTGGTATGATGTGTCGTCTTCATTATTTAAGTCAGTTAATGTTTTGGTCATTCTACTTTGTTTTTTAGTGATCTGTTGTACCGCCATCGAAACATAGAAGATTCTCAGAGTCATTTTCATATGAAAGTTGGAAAAGCCGAATTCTTAACTTTATTTTGTGTTTCAAACAGGTTTCGTACCACTATTCCTTGATCCGTGAGGGCTTCAGGCGTAAACTGCTGGACTCAACAAAGGTTAATTTATTCATTGATTTGACCCTTCGGACTTCACATTCACGCACAATACTTAGCTCACCGATTCAATCATACAGTCGAAATCACCAGACTCGAGTTTCGCTCTTATTAGAGTTCATCAGTAGTGCATATCCGCCGTCCTGTCCGGGACTTGATCTCCGGACCCATCGCATGGAAGGCATGTGCGTTACCACTGCGCCAACCAGCTCATGCCCTGGCCGAACCAAATTACCAATTCATGATTGTTCATGAGCTGTCTTTAATTATAGTCAGTCAGTTTATTCAATAAACAGCACAGCAAGTGGATACAAAATAGCAGTACACCTGATGCCAATACCGTATCAAACAACACCGAAGGATTGAAAGTGCAGTAAAGTGGACTCAGCAAAATTGTGGTGAAATATATTTGTTTTGGAATTGGACCGAACTGCACAGGGAAAACAGTAATATAGAAAATTGTCATATATAGGTATAGGTCGAATTCGTTCGGCACCCCGACTTTTCTCAGGTCTCCGGGTTGCAGTGCCTGACGTTGTGAGGTTCAGTCACGGGAGGGAATACTGTATCACTCCAAACCAGATTCACCAAATCTGTAATAGTATCCACTTTCGTTGCTGGTCCCCTATAAAAACACAATTTCTTGCTTTCAACGACGGTTGGTGGTACATCAACTGTAAGATGACGGAAACTCGGTAGAAAAAAATCATAAGTTGCTTATTTGTAAACAAAATGACTCAGGCTTTACATATTAGTTGTAATTCCTTTTTTTAAATAGTTTGTTTGCCTTACTCCACTTTTAAGTAACTAGACTGGCATGCAAATAGTTACTTTGTTTAGGAAAATCCAGCACTCTGACTTCAGACAGCCACTCGTTAGATGGACAACTCATCGCTATTTTCGACACTTAAAAGAGATTTTCGGCTGTTTGAATACAGGTTTTGGGCGGAATGTGTGTGAATTGGATAATAAATAAACTGCATAAATAAGAAACAAAATAACACAGATGGAGGTCTAAAAACTTGCTATGATGCTTTTTGCGTGAGATATGACAATGGCCTTTTTCCCTATGCATTGAAAGTGCGGACGGTACCCAAAACCGGCTTTATCCGTGCAACAAATTTTTAACTATCCAGAAAATTATTCATGGGAACCAAACAACTACAATGTGTTCACTGTTACTTTCCAACAGAGCACTTCAAGTGCCACGAGGATTTAATTAACAAATTAAAAAATAGGTAAATAAATCACTTTTTTTCTCAAGGTCTCATGCTGGTCATTCACTAGACATTGAGCAGTGAGATAAGACGAATATCAAACGGACAGCCGATGCGATTTGTTGGCAAAATCAATACGCGCCTTCCTTGTTGAGTGCTCAATAACGGCTTCACATCAGCTGAAATCAGCTGAACTCCGAAGTGGGCCATCGTTTTCTCAATGATAGCATACAAACTTTGCGATCGATCTACCCAGCCTATTCTCCAAATTATTTATTGGCTGCTTTTCTCTGCTGCGACCACATGTAGTCATCCTTTGGTTTCGATAAAGTCGGATTACTTCCTCCGTTTTCTAGTCTTGCTGGAACCATTCCTTTAGTTAAGTGATAAGTTGTGCTTTATTCTATAATACTGCACAGGTCAGGGACTGAGAAGCCGGATTTGAGCGTGCGTCTATCTTTCTGCTTCACCTATTTACCAAGACTCATAAATGTTACGTCCGGTTTGGTAATAGTGGCATTACTGAATGTTTATTTCACGAGCCGTACACTTCAAATTAGACTTTCGAAGATCAGTTTTCACGTTTCCAGGGATATAATTTTGCTTTCTGAATGGCCACATTTTTCACATGATCAATTTGAAGTGACGTGGTTTTGCAGTTCAACTGTGGCAATGCCCAAGTACCATTTTTTGGCACATTTCCTGTATGTTATGGCTTACAACTGACTGAGTTGTGTTCATACATATCTGTGATCAAATGGATTGATCGGTCGATCGGTTGATCGATCGACTGACTGTTTAAATTCTGGCTTGACGGCATTCGGATGTAGTGCGACGCGTGAGCCGGATTCTGCCTGCCTTTCTACACGCTGATCGTGCCTACTTGTTCTCCGGTTTTTGTACCCGCTACATATATGCTGATTACAATAAACTGACTGCTTCATTCGTTATATGCCCATCTACCTACTTAATTTGGGACACAACACTGTGTGTCTCACGCTGCATATAATATTTTGATAGACCAAAATATGCTTCCTCTTGACGAAATTTGTATTTATTAGAAAGAATAAGCATCCTCACTTCTCTATGTCACATATGCTCTAACTGTGAGCTGTAACTTCTGAGCAACTACACAGTTAACCGTAACATTCAAGGTGGCACCAATCAAAATAGTAATAGGCGGACAAGGGAAATTGCATTTAAACGTAACGTTCGGATTAAATACCTTTTATCTCTAGCTATCAACAATCCACAACACAGTGGCTTTATCCAATGTTCACTACAAACAATGACAGGTTTTCATTCCGCGAAAGCGGTTTTTCGTATGTTCAGATTAGCATTCTAGGCAAAGGAGCTGATGGGGTTCCGATCACTCTAAATTGTAACCGATGGTTGCTCGAACCGCCTCCGTAATCCCATCATTGCGAGTGATTATATATTCATCACTAAGCTGTTGTGAGAATGTTATAATCGACTAAATAATGAACACGACCGTTCTATAAATACCATTTTTTATAATCCACAGAATTAAGCTATATGTAATAAACAGAATTTCATCGTGACTGGGATTAGTAACGGCAGCTGGGTTGTATGTACGCTATTGCCGGAATCGGTTATTTATTCGTGAATCACGTCCAAGCCATATGAAGGATTTTGTCGTTTACAAAACATAGACAAAGAGCTGTAGAGACTCCAGTTCCAATTCACAATGGCGTGAATTCCAACTCCTCTTACACGGCTTCTCATCGAGCTTTCAATGTCGTAAACTTGTTCTGTGCAAGGAAGAAGTGCGATATGTTCACATATAACTGCGCTCATAAACTTTTTCGCAATATTCTTCGTACAATCTCTTCACAACCATAATCTGACTCTAAAATGTCACAACCAGCCCAGTTCCACACGGTCACGTGGTTCCTTACTGCCAATCAATTTATAATATTCACCAACTTGATTGAAAGCTTTGGTCCAAAGCAGTAGGTCTACACATAAAAGAGGCCTTCACTCTACAAAACTCATTGATTAGGGGAACACATATGTCTTAGTTTGTGTCAATTAGCGAAAGACAAACCTCACGTATCTCCAATTGGTTTATATATATATATACATATATATATATATAAACCAATTGGATTGCTCTTGAAGAGATAGAATCAAATCAAGTACTCATCACTCGTTTGACCTCCAAACCGTCTGCCTTATAAACTGATTCATGCTATATCATCAGTCTGGGATTTTAACAGGTCACAGGCCATGCACGTTTTGCAACACAGATGCCAGTTCCGGATAGCAGTTGGGTTATTCGTGCAGGAACTCACACACACACGTAAGGAAACACGCACGTACGAACAGAATCATGCCCCATTACTTCACCCCTATTCGTCCTGCTCCGAGACAAATTCCGCCAGTCGAATGAGGTCAGGCATGTGCACTATAGTCGAAATACCAGTGATACTATAGTAATAGTAGCCTTCAATTCACGGTAATTCGACCCGGGCAAAAATAATGGGCGTTTCCCCCCGCGGGGCATTTGTTCTTATTGTACACCCATTCCGATACTCCTTGAAATCCGGGCGTTGGCTATACCCCTGACTAGATGGAGTTCAACCCACACATTCACACACAAACACATACACACAATAGACGCTCATCCTCGTAGTGATTTTTCATGTTTGTCAGATTACCAGTCAGACAAGTGCACGTTGATGAGTGAATTAATCACTTTGCTTCACACTTAGCAACTTGATTGGACAAGGCGGAAAAGCTGGCATGTGACTCTTTGAATGTCGCCTTATTTAGCATTTAGCCTTTGAACGATAAAGAATGAACAGAATTGATCTGATGGCTTAGACGGAATACGCTCAATGATACTATTTGCTTCATAGCTTGTCGACCAAATCAGAACCAGTGGTGATAACATTACAGACTCG